TCAACCAACACTCATGGGACTTCCTTTTCAGATTAAAGTGACAAAGGCTCTTTGTGCATGGAAATGTTTAGTTTATTTGATTGAATCAATATTTCCTTGAAAGCACTTAAATGGAACATCGTCCATATACCGAAATAAACAACGATGCCGAGGTGAAATACGGCTCGTTTATACCATCGCCAAAGACTTGAGAATAAGTTGCTTTTTTGCTTGCTCCCTATAAGAACACTGCATAGAAACTCCGTCCGGGGTGACTAGTGAGGCTGATAGTGCAACTAAGAGCGTAAACAATTTCTTGGGCAACAAAACAATTAACAGTTGAGAAATATTAGATAATCGCATGATTTTTGAAAAAATATTAAAACATCCCCATTGTTAATGAGCATTGCACGTCACGCTGCTTTAAAAAGGGAGCGCAGCTTGATTTGGAATAACTTTGTCCGATAGTGAAATTCACGATCACCTCAAAGCACCGCTTAACAACATTAAGAGCAAGAAAATCAAAGGACACTCAAAGGGCACATCCCTTTCTATTGGAAATCGTGGATAATACTTTTCGCTTTGCCGGCACACAATCTGTCATGTACATTGAAGTTCCTGCTACAATTTACATGGGTGTTTGTTGGTGACAAAGCTCTAAAGGTTCCAACTTAGAGCTCCACAGGACTTGCGTTCGAATCCAACCATCACCAACCAAATATTCCTTTCTATATGTGTTCCCAGGCAGCACATCAGTGGCCCAAGCTCTCTCCGTTCATAAAAGTTTTATATTTTTGCATTCCATGAAACATGAAAAATATTTAAAAATACCCTGATGTTTTTGCATTGCTTGTTTGAACAAGAACTATTTTACTAAGTCGAAATACTTGTAAACTAACTCAGTTATCAGTTGCCCAACCCAACGACTTTGTGCGTTCTGACCACTTAATTCAATGCCTCAGATCATCTGCCACCTTCCATCAATGCAATGCTTGCCTGTTCTCGCAGTTATGACAGATAGATTGGTGTTTTTTTTCCTGTAATACAGTCGACTGGACCGTCTAGCGAGTTTATATATCGAAAATCTTATATCTGCTCGCACCGTTCTGGAGAATCTTTGCAACAATCTAGGAACAATCATGTGGTTTTTTCAAGATGATTTGCTCTAAATTTGTGGACTGCAATGCTATGGCGGCAGACACAATGCGTTTAATCCTATGTTGCTTACCAACTCCGGGTCAAGAACCTCACCGGCTGCTGTCACCACAACGGAGTAGGCATTGCATCTGTTCGGTGTGCAACACTGCGATATAAAGTGAAAAAGTGATTCGGGAAACTTTTTTTAATTTGTATCTTATTCTCAGTATATCGGTGTGATGGGTTATGTCGCACGTTATTTCACAAATAAAAAATGTTGTTAGTTGTTCGGTTGCAGCTAAAAGCACATCGGAAGCAATGTTGGCGGATGTCGATGCCATTGTTAGTGCATAGTGTCTTGTTTACCGTTGTAAATCGGAAAAACAAGCATTTCTTTTATGGTGAAGTCATCAATTGTGATATAAGTTTTCCTTGAAATCAAAAGCGTGCATTTTATTGCGGTGAAAGAAAAATTACAATCGAGGTCAAATATGATTCATGATTTCTGTTCATATAAAAAGGCGAGTAAAATTTTAGCCCAGTGCATTAATGCAATAATCTGCTTTTCATCCTATGTTGTTGCTGGAAACGTTTCTGCAACCGCTGACATTTGGTATTACTTTGAATCGAAAGCCATGTTCATCAACTAAAAAACCCCAACCGGATGGGAATACGTGCCCCTGGAATTTGAGGTTTTTTAATATTTCACTGATGACACTTGTCTCATTGTTTGAAAAATAAATCAGTTTTAATAAATAACTTGATGGATTTTCCTCGCAGTTCAATCGCTTCAAAATGTCCATGACTTTTTGTATGTTACCACTATATAAAATTCTGTCCCTTAATTTGCAAAATGTTTCAGTTTAGTTTTTCATTATGACAAACATGTAACTAAGCAAATGCTTGAGAATGTGTCACAATTTACACAAAGCTGCGTCTTCTCACATTTAAACGTCAAGTATCGCGTCCATATGCCTTGTGTGGCCAGTAAGGAAATTATCTACTTAGAATGAAAGGGTAAGGTACTATTTGGCCCTCGTTTGCATGCGAATCTGAATCCACCGAAAATATCGGGGTTGCTATAGGATGGCTCTTTGCAACTCCAAACGCAGCTGGGAAAACCTTCTATGCTCCATGAGCTTTGAATAGTCGATATATGGGACTAGAAACAACAAAATCTGACTTTTTCTAAACAATTCAATATAAAACAGCGCAAATCATTTCTCTGCTTTTTGTGTATGCGCTGCTCAAGGGTACGAAGTACGAAAGTGTGGGTGGCGTCCATGTATGGGTTCGAGTCCCAGTGAATCTTTTGAACAATATAAACAAAATAAATGTTGTCGATATTAGCTAAGGCAATTATTATTGAGGCACAATGAAACAAAATGAATCCTATTCATCGGCACAATCTTAAGGTGATGCAAATCGCAAATGAAGTTTACCACAATTCCCTTCGATAAAACTTGTACGGTTGGGTTAGTTCACCTTTGATTTCGCGGAATTGTTGAGAATTTTCATTAGGTCAAAATTTGTATTTTTAATTCCAATAAAACATATTTCTGCAAACCTTTCAACCCTTCGATCGGAAGATTTATATATTTCAGCATTCTGCTTTCCCCTACATTCAAATGTTTGGCATTTCTATAGGTACGTCTCAATAAAATCAGGAACTAATAGGCTTTGAGTTTGTACTATTTTAGAATTTTTACAAAAATGGACTTAAAAAGAACGCTTATTTGAGTCCAATCGTTGCAAGTAAAATGCACTTGGTTTTCTCATGAGTGCAAATGCAGATCGCCAATGAAAAATATACCATAAATTGTATCAAGGTACTCAAGATAAGGATGGATAGATGAATGGATGGATGGATGGATGGGTGGACGTTGATCATTGATTCAACTTTGAGCGTTTTTCCAAATAAGCACGTTGACATAAGAAGGAACCAAGAGTAATCGTTACCCGTTTAAATCCGAATGTGGTTATTACCTTGCAGAGTGCATCGGTTTTGGTGGATCAAGTTATGAAATCTGTGTCCAATGAAAATGATTTTTATCAACCCAAGTGGTAAAGAAGGTTCACAAATTAGCTTTGGTGTGTAGGCACGTAGAACGCTTACTCAGTTAACCAGACGTTTGAGAACTGATGATAAGGGCTAATTAAATCCTTGTTCCATGGAAGGACCCATTTCTAATACAGCTACATAACATTTCAAAATTGTTTACTTTAGAGGTTTCCATGATGAAAAAACAAACAAAGAACATTAAATAATTGTTGGTTTACGAAGTACGATTAGGGATCAGTTATTTGTATTGTGGCTGGTGGTGCTGATGGATACACACAGACTAACATAATATGTGAGGTGCTGTGGTTAACGCTGGTATCACACAGGGTTGCACACGAAGACTGTTCAGACCTATATAAATACTTTGTAAAGGTAATTGAATGAAATGGATAACTTCAGACAGAACACTAGGAAAAATCGCGGGGCAAAAGTTAGTTACGGGTCAGTGATGCAAAATTTATTGAAAAAGTAATTTGCATTCAACCGCAACTTCTATGGTTGTATGCATAACATTTGAAGCATCAAATTTATGACTTCCATCAATAAATCTTTTATAATTTATGGTTAGGGGAAGTAAGATATCCAAATGGTTTTATTTAATGCATTTGTTACTTAATAGGAAGTAAACGGAACGAGCGGCAGCTCGGTCTGTGTAACACACGAAGTAAAGCGTCACTTGAAAGAAAGATAAGCTTGACGTGCCACGAATTTCGTACCTAGTTCACAGGATTTCGAGCAATAAGCTGGGGTTGTGAAGTAAACCAATAATCGACAAATGAAGATCTGTGTTCTGCTCAATTTGAAAGTCTACCTTCTATTTGTTGTTTCAAACAAAGATCACCTTTACACCAATGTCTTTTATTGATTCACCTCACACTTTTCTCAGACGAATTTGTGCATGTAATCCGGATTAATGCCAACATGTAAACTCCTTCCATTATTCTTCATCCAACCCATTTATCCTCAATAAAATTTACCATCACCTGAAAGCAATTATGGCATAAGAGAAAAATTTGACCTTTTCCAATCGGATAAAAAACGCTACATGGGATGCTCAACAATTATCAATTCTACTAACTCAATTCTTACCATCTCACACTGATGCCTGGGGATTTCAAACAGGTGCAAATTAGTTCAACAACTCACGCATCAGTTGGAATTATTGCAAAATATTTGAAAAACAAAAGCCGTGCGGCGTATTGTTTCAACTTATAACGGAAGGTATAATCTGCAGGAGAAATTGTAGCCAACTTTATTTTTTTTGTACGACAACTTAAATTTCTCAAGAATGATTTCACTAATTGGTACGTACTTTCCAGTTGGCACCTCTCTGGTTAAATCATCCTCACATCAGCTCATCGAAAAAGGGTGAGTAAGTGGCATGAGACGAAACCGCGCAGGAAGAATTGTTGATGGGTTTCATTTTAACGATGCGAGCATCATTTCATTCTGGAATCGTTTCACTGCTTCTCAGCTGGTGCTTACTGAATATTACAAAACAGTTTATATACCACAGGTGTTGATAAATGCACATGACATCACTTAACTCTTCCGCTTACGTGGTCACCCGGGCGATGCCAGACAGATGTAAACTTCCCTACAAAGGTTCTGGATGCGGTAAACATAAACCATTGTCATACAGCATGTTGTTTCTTTGTTCACCATTTTGCCTCTTGTGGAAAATATACGAATAATTGGTGACTACGTGAAGAATAAACCAATCCAGTTGGGTATTCTGCTTTCTGTCCTGAAATGTCTACTAATTCTGTGCACACACTTCAGTTTTCGAGGTCGGCAGTTTAGATGAGTCGATGGCGTGGTTATGGGCAGCCGATGGGGTCATATTCTAGCTAACATATTCATGGCCAGTCTGGTGACCAAAGCCAATAAAACATTGACCGGTATTCTGCTCTACAGGAGGTATTTTTCTGACACGTTGATAATCACCCAGAGCGAGGAGTTGTTAAATGAATTGAATTTGCTTGACAAGGACATACAAGTCACTGTGGAAACTGAGCAGTACAAAACAAACCTATTTCTGGATATTGTTATTGGTGGAAGAACTGACCGAACTATTTCTAGATTAGTGCATCAAAAATCCACATGGGACAACCAGTATATGCATCCTGGGAGTTTTGCTCCAATCCAATCCAATCGAGCTACGAGTTTGTGTACTCCAGATGATGTGCAGAGTGCGCTATTTCAGCTGACGGAAACTCTGAAGCTCAATGGTTATACAAAGGTACAGTGTAAAAGTCAAACCCAAGACCTCGGGGGTGACAGTACCGAAATTTGACGTTCTCAGTTAACTGCGGTTCAAAGGTGTTGATGTAGGCTAACCTTTACGAAGACCGCTGGTGGCATCGGTTACCCGCACACAAATTTGCTGCAAATCCGATAATTCGCTTCACCAAAAGAGAGGTTCCGATGCCCTTGGTGAAATCAACCCTCCCTCTATCCGCCAAATCGCATGAAGTCTATGAATTTCAATGCGGTTGCGGAGCCACTTACCTGGACAAAACAGAGAGGTAGCTATATACCTGAGTGGGAGAACATAAACCAGCATGCATCGAACGCGAACGGATTGGACTGAGGGCTACACAAACAAAAAGCCCAACAAGACAGGCGCACAGAACACCTGTGTCGTCATTTGCTTGCCATCTTCTGCAAACTAACCAACAAACCAAACGAAGGACTTCTTTTCGGGTTGTTTACACAACCTCGAATGAACGGCAGTTGAGATTTGCAGAGGCTATAGAAATAAAGCACCGAAAGCTTCTGCTTTGTCAGCAAAAGGAGGTCTGCATCAATCTGGTATTGCTTTGGTAACCACGTAGGCGGAAAACCTACCATAATACATGAGCAACACCTGTGATGTATAAACTGTTTTGTATTCTGCAATAAGCACCAGCTGATTTGCAGCAAAATGATTCCGGAATTAAATAATGCTCGCTTGCCTTGTTGTGTTCTTTGTTCAAGTTTATTTCGGGAAATCATTGCTGTAGAATTCATTTTACATTGAATTAAATCTCAATGAATCTGATTTGTTGGAAGACAATACGAATCCGCCAAAGAGAGTACCCTGTTTAAGTAGAACTAGATAGTGGGATATTTTTGTTCACACGAATCGGGTTGTACTACGCAGGATTTGGTACCGGTACCTTTGAAAATCCTCGAGGTTACAGGAGAGATTGTTACCAGCCCGTGATGCGACCGGTTTTTATGCCGATCTGCCAGTCATATTTGTCGATGACCATTCTGTGAACTGGTCATCAAAGAAAAATAGGATTATCCCAAATTTTGATTCACTTGTGATGGAGCGAGGTTGTTCACTATGACAATCGCGCTGTACTGCAATCTCCTCTCTTCTTTTGTTCTACAATTGTTTCCATGACGGACATATCGGATGTCTTGTGATTGCGAAAGTGCTTTTTGTTGATCATTAGACTTATTTAGAACTATTTTGGAGTTTTCCTAAAGTGACTGATGTGGGTTCGTGGTCAAGAGTGTCGCCATTCCTTTACAGCTGTTTTATTTACGTTAATAATAGTTAGCAACGCAGATCAACCAGATCCAGTGAAATGATGATGGGACCTCGAGGAATCGTTTATTGGGTGCTACATTCGGTTCTATACACCGGTAACCATTGGCTTGTTACAGGTCCACATCATATAATATGGTGCTCATTCACAATTGCCTCTGAATTCGCCGTACCTCAGTAGACACAAAGGGGCTCTCATGTATGCGATATCTGATGATCAGTTACGAAATAAAGTGATTTCATTGAAAGCATTTGATTTTCTCAAAAAAGAAATCAGCCACTGTATTGGCTTTCGAACATTTTCAAGATGATTGAAAATTTAAGTGTATGATTATTTCTGTTGAATTGAGGTTTTATCCAAAACGATGTTAACACTTGCCAAAGCTTTCCACACACTAATGGTACAAACCTAAAGTATAATAGTGAAAATTTGGTACAAACCTGATTGTAACTTGTGTACTCCTAGGTTTTTATCAATGTTACATAGCATTTTGATAAACGCCATAAATGATTTCTATGTGACAGAGTGTAAGGCGTTGTGTAGACAACAAAAATGAACTCGTGTGAACTCGAGGTTCCTCGAGGTACTCGAGGCACTCGAGGTACCCGTCCTGAGTTGAAACATGCAGCCGAAAAGGGTAGGTTGACCCCACGAACGCAGATGTAGGTGGACTAAAATCGTTGGCCCAAAACGTTGTCGATGTGTTATTGAACGGATCCTACACCTTTCTCTCCTTTGATGTGTCCATAGTTTTGTCGCCCTTGCTGCATTTGTAAACAATGAAATGTGCAAAACAGGGGCTGACAGATTAGTTTTTACACTTTGATCACCTTATTTCGGAAACTGTTGAGTGTGAAGACATGAACTTCAAGATGCCCATTATTGAGGGTTTGACCCTGACTCTTGTTGGAAATGAATAATTCAGCAGAACACAGGTACAGTAAAATTGTAATGAATTGAAGTAGGATAGAGGGTGCTTATTTATTCAAGTGAGAATTTTGAACCGCAGAATGCCATATTGATGTATGAAAATAATAAGTGTGAAATAAATCTAGTCCAATGGTTGGTTGACTGAGTTTCTCGGAGACCATATGAGATAATTCAGTGGTTGAAACAAGGAATTAAGTTTAAGGCAGTTATTAAAATATAATAATCCTACTCCGTCACGGACACTGTTGATAACGGTTTCAGTGGAAATAGGTGACGTAGTTTGATTTAATCCAGCACCAACGAGTAAGCCACACAATACATCACGGAAAATATTCAAAGACGTCTGTTTCACCTTTGAGATGTATCTATACAAAATGTTGGGAATCCCTAGTGGCCTCTTGCTGTTCAGCAACAAGGGGTTGTGTTGAATTTTCATTTTGATCACCAATTAAAAATGGAAGCGTCACACAAACAGACCGTTCTAATCTTTTCTTGGTAACCTATATGAAATAACTTTTATCAAGTAGAACTCAACATTTTCTTGTGTGTTTGTTTGAAGTTAATTATTTTTGGATTATTAATGACGATTAGTGGTATTAGTTAGAAATCAGCAGTACCCTTGCGAGAGATTTCAACGTTCGATTGAAACGTTCGGTATGAACTGTGGGCAGCAGATAATGGTTTTCCCGCGCATCCCAAGTGTTACAGTTATGCGGCAACTTCACAACTACGAGAGCTTTTCTAATCGTACCGCGCGCCTTGCAATGTGAAATCCGCACTATCGCTTAGTATAATATCATATAGTCGTGAATCTAAACTTTCTGTATGCTTAGTTGGTTTACCAGTAGTCTTAAATGTAGTTGTTTGTTTGTTGTTGACTGTAGCTGTTTAATTAGAAAGATAGAAAACCATCCTATCTATCCAAAATTTAAATTTATTTTGATTGTTCCTATTTTTATATGCAACTGATTTTAAATAATTAGGCTCTATTGGTACATCTCACATTTCATGAATTGGATGCAAAAATAAGATGGTTATTGCCCAATGTGGATTTGAAGTTCACCGAAGAAAACGGGTTATTCGTGGCATCGCATACTTGGCTCAGTCAGTCCTGTTCACGCAGTTGTGACTAAATTCAATCAATGACCCATATTCCAAATGCCGTGACCGTATGACCAAGCGAAGCGAAGCAGTCCAAGACGCGAAAATTAATTGGATGAACATCAAGGTTTCGTGGTGAGAAGAGTTCGGACGATTGTATAATGCAAATATATGGCGATGAAATTTACTAGACCATGTACTTCCGCGTTTTTCGTAGAATTTGAAAATAAAATAAAAAGTAACCTAATTTAACTATGCTTATTAGCAACTTGCAGTTTCAAAGTAGCGGTGTAACTCAATGTTCGTCTGCACTTCATCGCCCTTGTCAAAACTTACACAATCATACTCGTTTCATGTGACTGTATTTATTCTGTGAAAAGGCTGATTGTCAGAGTTTAAATCGATCCAATCGGCCAAACAAACAAGCTTTCGGGAAAACCAGTACAGTTTCAGAAAGATAACCATGTGGGGCACTGACCCAACGGAATTCTAATAAATCACACACCAAGAGGACGACATGCACGTGCCACTGCATGACATCTGCCGCCGGAATCAACATCTGCACGAATTAGTTGCAGAACCATGCCAGATAATACATATTGATACATGTAAACTTTCTATGGTGTTCATACAACCTGACGGGAACGGATACATAGTTAACACCAATATATCCTCTATCCTACCGCTCTCCCCCAAACCCTTACACGCTTATGCCGATGAAGACCGACAGACGGGCATCTAATGCGCGTTTGTCTATATTTCCAATGCAATATCGGTTACTTTCGCTTTTGTTAAAAAATACAATTTGTTGGTACAGAACAAGTAAGTGGACGAAAAATCATTAGAATATTTGTACGGTTAGCTGATTTGTGATTGCATCGAAAGCCAAGACTGATATATCCTCCTCTATATACATTTATTTTAGCATTCAAATCATTTCCCATGGAATTGCATGACTGAAATCAATTGATACTCATGTACAAAAATCATTCTCATCAGTGTTATCTTAATCAATGGTTACGCAGAATGCATCGTTTTTTTATTTGTTTGGATGCATACACTGTATTGGGAATCATTGCAAATGGGATTATGTGAAACCAAAGACAAGAAAATATACGTTACTTATAAATTAACAATTTTCAATACCTTTTATTCCGGTGGAATTTCGACAAGATTTGTTGCAATATACATATATATATATATATATATATATGGAGTAATATCTGGATGAATAGACAAAAATTAGCCGGAATTAAATAAGCGCTTCGCATTTTATTCGCGGAATATTAGTCTAACCATTCAGATACTACTTATTACAATTTACTTGTAAAAAGACACGAAGCATCGATGCGGCTGATAGCTAAAACCAGTTCTGTAGGTTAGAACCCACACAGATGCTAGAAGAATCAAAGCAATTATTCACAAATGAACAGGAAATAATTGGCATGATAATAATTGTATTCCAACAGATGGTGATTGAAAATTGCTACCGTTTATACATATATAATATACGGTAGCAATCCTTTTATCCATGTCGGTTGTGCTTTGCGTTTTCACTGGATAATTAAACTGTGATAAAGTCAAACGCGCAAGCTATTGAAAAAAACTAGCTCCCGTTGAGCAGTTCAAACAAACCTACATGCACAACGTCTTTGTTGTTATGTTCTACTAAAATGAAGCGCCGTGACAACCAAATGTTCTAATAGGCGATAGTTTATTTTAA